TTTTTTTTTTTTTTTTTTTGAGACAGGGTCTCACTGTGCATTTCAGGTTAGCCTTGAATTCACTATGTAGCCCTAGCTGGTCTTGAACTCATGGCAATGCTCCTGCCTCAGCCTCCTGAGTGCTGGCTTTCTAATGTATTTATTGAAAAGACCATTTTCCCCAATACATTTCAATGTCACCACTGACATAAATCAGGAGACTGTACAATTGGTCTTTCCTTTGGTCTCTGGTCTTGATCACCAGTGTTACTACCTTAATCACTGCTACTTTATAATAAATCTGTATTATGCTGGTAGTGCATATTTCAGCATTATTGTCCAAGACTGAAAGTTAACTTGGGGCTAGAGTAGTTGCTTAGCATGCACAGGCCTTGGATTTGATCCTCAGCACTGGAAAAAAAAGGAGAAGTAGTTATTTTGTAAACTCAAAAGGAGACTAATGTGTGCAGACATATATTTCCTATTCTTTGTAAACCGCATCCAACTGTAAACTCACTGCTGACACAATCTGTATTATATTTAGTGCCTGCATATTTTTTTCAGTACTGGGATTGAACCCAAGACCTTTGCATGACCCCACCCCCTTTTATTTATTTTATTTATTTATTTTTGAGACAAGTTCTCACTAAGTTGCTGAGTTGCTGGGCTTGAACTTATGATCCTCTTGCCTCAGTCTCCCAAGAATGCACTATCGGTCCCAGCTCCAAAACTAGCATTTTAAACCAGCATTGCAGTTAGTCCCTGATTTACTGTCTCAATGTTTCTTTGGATCGAGGGAGTGGGAGAGGCTGAAATGGTCCTCCGCTTGGGTCTCACCTGGCTGTAGTTCAGGTGTGAGCTGGCACGTTGGTGTCAGAAACTTAAGTGGGAAAAGATCCACTTCCAAGCACCCTCAAATTGTTGTCTGCATCTGTCTCCTTGCATTTGGAAGGCTTGGGTTCATTTTTTGTGACCTGTCAAGTGGGAACCACCCTCAGCTATCAGAGGTTGCACAAAGTTCCATGACATGTGATCTTTGGGGGTGGGGAGCAGGGTCTGATTGTGTAGTTCAGGTTGGCCTTGAACTCACTAGCCCAGGCTGGCTTGGAACTCCTGGAGATCTTCCTGCCTCAGCTTCCCGAGTGCTGGAATTACAGGCATGGACCATCACACCTGGCAGACATGTGATCCTCTCTTAATATAGCAACTTCTGCTTTCTCTCCCATCTGTTGAGATGGAGCTATGTGCATACATGCTTGCACATACACGTACACACATAATATTCATATGTGGTGTATACATAGATGTGTAGTGTTCACATGCATATCTATACAGATGTATGTGTATATCATTTATGGTAGTGTAATTGTGGGAGTGACATCCCATCCCCTTCGCCATATTCTGTTGATTGGACTTTGTCCGCCTCATCGGTCTATCCGTCACTCACCGGTGTGAATCTGGGGGCCACCCCAAGGTCTGTCCCCACAGTCTGAAGACTACTCTCTGAGAAACGAGTGCTGTGTCTTTTGAGAGGTACATATATTCTGTACTTTTAAGTGACACTGTCCCGCAAGCCCTCATGAGTCCTGCCTAATTTTAGCAACTATTTGAGAACAACTTAGCCTTCACAAAATGTACACAATGATTGATTCATTTGAAAGTGTAAAAAAAAAAAAAAAATTTTTTTTTTTTTTTTTTTTTTTCTTGGTAGCAGGGATAGAACTTGGGTCCTTGTGCTTGCAAGGCAGGCACCAGCCAGAACCATTGAGCTAAATCCCCGGCCCTTCTCCCAAGCCATTTAAACAGATTAGTTTTCGGCCCCCTACTTTAACTCAATGCTTCACTCGCTAAACTGACGTTTGAGGAGAAACAATGTCTTTGATTCCAGTCACCGCTGTAACAGATGAGCACAAACACAGCAGCTTGAACTGACACAGATTCATTGCCTTCCAGTTCCGGAGGTCAGGAATGAACAGTGAATGGTCAGGCTCTGCCCCTCTGGAGAATCCATCCTTTCCTTTCCTTTCCAACTCCTAGAGGCTGCACCCACACTACCTTATCCCAGCCTCTGCCTCTGCAGCCACATCTCCTTCCCCGGGCTCTGACCCTCCGGTTTCCCCTGAAGGGGCCTGGTGATCATGCGGGGCCCATGTGGCGATTCCGAAAGCTCTCGGATCTCTCGGATCCTCGGTCACTTCCGGAAGCCTCCTTCTCCCCTGGAAGGTGACATCTCAGTCCCAGGGATTAGGAGGTAGATGTTTTTTAGGGGACTGTTTCATCTACTACAGATCCTGACTCCATCTTAATGGAAATTTATCATGAGTCATAAAAGGTGCATTCTATTCTCCCATGTCGAGATCCCTTCACAGGTTTTGGTACATTTCCTGCACAACAGAAATTGGAGAACAGGTGCTGGATAATACATTTCCCAGTGAAGCTTCCTAACATTTCCCGCTCATAATAAATTCCTACATACAACATTGGAAAAGCATTCTAAAAGGCACTAAAGGTATCTTGCTACTTCTTTCTTTGGGGAAGCTCCTTATTTTCAGTCAAATATTTGTTATTCTCCACAAAGTGGGTATGTGAGAGATATATCATTCTGTTTTATTTTTTCCTCCTTACTGGGATTGACCTGGGGAATTTCACACTGAGCTACATCCTTAGCCCTTTTTATATTTTATTTTGAGACAAGGTGTCCTAAATTGCTAAATTACTGAGCCTGGGCTCAAACTTGCGATCCTCCTGCCTCAGTCTCCCAAAGTACCGGAATTACAGGCATGTGCTACCATGCCCAGCCTTCTTTATGATTTATTTATTTATTTAGGTACTGAGGATCAAACTTGGGTTGAACCGCACTTGTGAGGAAGGTGGTGGAATCACTGAGCTAAATCCCCAGCCCTCTTTATGATTTTTAAAAGCACAAGAGCCCAGTGCAGGGGTGCACTCCTGTAATTCCAGCTATACTTGGGAGGCTGAGGCAGGAGGATCGCAAGTTCGAGGTTGGACTGTGCAGTGTATTCAGCAAGATCCTGTCCCAAAATTTAAAAACGAAGTTTTTAAGTGATTGGGGTATAGCTTAGTGAAAAGGCTCTGAATTCAATTCTCCAGTACCCCCCACACACACTAAAGAAAAGAAACACATACACAAGAAAAAGTGACTACATGAAGCTACACAGCAAATCAGAGAAAGCCAGAACTAGTGATTAGACCTTCCAGTTGCAAATCTGAGTTCCTTATCTACTCTGCCTGACAACCGTCTTGCTATGATGACTGTTACTAAGTCTTGATGAGACTGAAGCAGGTGCCTACATGGGTGCACACACAGCCCCACAGCCCTGACTTCCCAGGAGCTGACAGTAAACAAGGAAAATGCACAGGGTGAGACTCTAGGAAGCAGGCCATGTGTGTGGTCCCTGGAATGTTGCTGCCGTCCCGCTCAAGTATCTTGTTACAGATGCTGCTGTCTCCTGTTCTGAGACTTTTCTGTAATGATATTCTTCAGGGATTATACCACACCACTTCGAATGGCATAGGCTGCTGGCAACTGGATTTCTTCCCCTCCTCCCTCCACCTTCCTCCTCCTTGTGCTGGGGATAGACCCAGGCCTTCGCATATGCTACCAAGCTCTCTACTGCTGAACTGCACCCCAGCCCCAGATTTCTTCTTAAGTAATGAGAAAGATAATTGCCCAAAATCAGGATGTGTTGTCAGAAGGGCAAGTCTTTCTTAAAACCAGAAGTTGAAACTTTTAACTGAGTGGTGGGTGGCACATGCCTGTAATTCCAGCACTGTGCAAGTCTGAGGGAGGAGGATTGAAAGTTTGAAAGTGTGAGCTGAGTCTGGGCAATTTAAGAATTTAGTGAGACCCTGTTTCAAAATAAAAATTTTATTATATATTTATTTATTTTTGTCCCTTTTTTTTTTTAAAACAGGGTCTCACTATGTAGTTTAGGCTTGTCTTGAACTCACCATGCAAGGCAGGCTGGCCTCAAATTTGTAGCAGTCCTCCTGCCTCATCCTCCTGGGTGCTGGGATTACATTCACCACCACGCCCAGCTAGACTGCCATTTATTAAACCTTGAAACCTCTATTGCAGTGCGTCCAGTATTACAGTTCTTTTCAGTTTCTAAAGGTAGTTGCTTTTTTGGTGGGGGGCGGTACTGGGGATCGACCAAGACCTTCTCACAGGGTGATCTTCCTGCCTCAGCGTCGCAAGTGTTTGGATTACTGATGTGCACCACCACACAAGGCTAGTTTTGTTTTGCTTTGAAACAATCTGTGTTGGTCAGGCTCATCTTAAACTCATTTGCTCAAGTGGTTCTCCACCTCAGACTCCCAAGTAAAGGGACTTTAGGTGCATACCACCATGCCCTGTTATTTTATTTGAAATACTGGACTGGGGAAGTAGCTCACGGGTGGCCTAGCATGGGCAAGGCTCTGGGTTTGAGCCATAGCACTTTAAAAAGAAAAGAATAAGAACAAATCATACCACCCAACAACATTTTCGAGTATTTATTATATGCCACACTATTGCTGCTTCACACGAACTGTCTTGTGCGGTTCCCACAGTAATGCTGAGAAGAGTATTTCTGTTTCACAGATGGGGACACTGAAGTTGAGCAAGTTTGCTGAAGGTCACAGTTAGCAAGAGGTGAGACTCCAGGCACTTCTGCTTGTAATCCTGTGTCCTCGAGCTAACAGCAGGGCTGTTGGGTCAGATGTGGAGGAAACAGCTCACAAGGCTTCCTGCATGTGCCCATTCTCTACGCTCCACAGTTGTCTACGTGGATGCATCATTTTCTGCCCAAACAGCAATTGTCTTTCTCGACTTTCAGCATTCACACCAGAAGTCCCTCTAAAGAGATGCCTGCCAACTATGCCTCCCAGATTCCGAGTGCGCCTGGCCAGGTGGAGCCGAAATCAATCCCTGTGCCAGTCATGCTGAGCTCTTACCCTGTAGGTCTGACTGCACGGCCCAGCTGTGGTATCTGCTCCTGCACCTAGATAGGGTACATTCAGAGACTGAGACCATCAGGCACTGGGAGAGCAGCAGCACCCCCTGGAGCCTTGTGCTGGGGCTGGGAGCGTGGCAGTGCAGCTCCTGTGATCTCTCTCTGTCCCCTGTAGGATGGCTGCTCCGCAAGGTCAACACTGGGCCTCCTCCCTGTGCTCAGCCTGGCAGGGGTAGTTTTGAGCCCGACACTATGGCGTCATCACCTTCTCTCCCGATGCCTCGCTCGCAGTCCAGGAAGCCTCTGGGCAGGATGGCTGGTGAGTGGACCCAGGCTCCTCCTCCGCTCTTGTTCCTAAGAGTATAGTCCTCGCTCCTCGTGTGGGTAGTGGGAGGGGAGAGACACAGCCAGGCTGATGAGGGGACAAAGCTCCCACCTGGACTTAAGCACCCGCCTATCCGCCCATCCCATGCTTTGTGAAGGTGAGGAAAGAGGCAAGTGTGAGCAGATTCCTCTATTCCTTGGGCTCAGAGCTTTCCAGGCTCCGCTCTGCGCATTTCCCTAGGCTGGAAACCACTGTCCCAGCTGTCCCAAGTTGTGTCTCTTGTTATCTAAACCTGTTCCAAAACCATCCAGAGCAAGAGCCAAGCAGAAAGATAAACCCCATCCTATCTGTCCTTGTCAACAGCTGGGTTTTAACATCATTATGGAGGACTCCTAGTACACCAGATGGTACCCATATATACCCTTCTGCAACAGAACTGGTCCGTTTTATAGATGAGGGAATGGAGATCGAGACTAACTTGCTATAAGGTCGTAGACACAGCAAACAGCAGGTCCACAATCAAGTCTGTGTACCAGGCTCCCAAGTGTGAGTTCTGAGTCACTCAACTCTGTGCTCCCCAGGAGCTCTGAGCACTAGCTTTCTTCCATGTTGCCCATTTAGCAAAATTCTTAGATTTCTCAGGACCAAAAAGATGCCAGTTCCCAATACCCTTTCCTTTCCACAGTGGGTAGAGAACCAACTCTAATCCCTAAGGTGAGTTTTTCAGACCCACCTCCTCTTAGTTTTTGAGATAGCGCCTTGCTCTGTTGCCCAGGCCGACTTCCAACTCCTCGGCTCAAATAATCCTCCTGATATAGCCAGGTCTCCAGGCATGCAGCATCTCACCCAGCTAAGGCCTTCTCTCTAACCCAGGCTGTTGAAACACTCCCACAGAACTCTACTATATTTTTAGAACCTTTATAGACAGGGGGAACCAATGCTAGACCTGAAGGTGCTAAAATAACGGAGCAGTGGTGTCTGAGAGCAAGAAGATAGTTTCCCAGTTCCCTTCGCTGTGGGGCTCCTTCCTGCTGAGTCCTGAAGAGGCAGCCTGGTAGGAAAGCTTGGACTGAGCACGGTGTGTTTGTCCTCCCCAGACTGGTTCAGGCAGGCTCTGCTGAAGAAGCCTAAGAACGCGAGCATCTCTTCAGAAAGCCACCTCAGTGGTGACACACAGCTGGCCTCACAGGACAGCGCCCCGCCTCCAAGCCTCCACTCAGTTACGTCTTCTACCCCACCGCCAACACACAGGGACACCAGCAGCAGTGGCCGCTGGAGTAAGGACTATGACATTTGCGTGTGCCACAGCGAGGAGGACCTGGCTGCTGCCCAGGAGCTGGTCTCCTACCTGGAGAGCAGCTCCAACAAGCTGCGCTGCTTCCTGCAGCTGCGGGACGCGACCCCAGGTGGGGCCATAGTGTCTGAGCTGTGCCAGGCGCTGAACAGTAGTCACTGCCACGTGCTGCTCATCACCTCTGGCTTCCTCTGTGACCCCTGGTGTAAGTTCCAGATGCTGCAGGCCCTGACCCAGGCCCCAGGGGCTGAGGGCTGCACCATCCCCTTGATGTCTGGCCTGACCAGAGACGCCTACCCTGTTGAGCTCCGGTTCATGTACTATGTGGATGGCAGCGGCCCGGACCGGGGCTTCCTCCAAGTCAAGGAAGCTGTCATGCGCTGTAAGCTACCGAGATGGGGCGTGGGAGCAGGGGAAGGGCGTCAGCCATAGAGCTGGGTCTATGGTAGCCTTTAGGAGACAGAGGCTTAGCAATTAATGCTCCAAGTGCAGGCACCAGGAAAGCCTGGGCTTGAATCCTGACTCCTTCTCTTACAAGCCTGGAGAAGTCACTGCCTCTGGACCTCAGCTTCCTTATTGCTCATCAGGCTTCCAGTGAGAATAGTACATATGCTAAATAAATGTTCAGAACATAGCCTGGCCTATGTCAAGTAAGTATTCACAACAGGCAGGGCCTAGCACATATCAAGTCCTCAGTACATATGATCTAGTAGTAGTAGAATAGTATAGGATAGGGATAGGGCTGGAAATGTCCCAAAGCTGGGCAGATACAAGGGGAGAAGTCAACTTAGTAAAGCAAAATGCTACAAAGTGATAGGAAGGAAATGCAGACAGAAGCATACCCAGGGCAGGGCACTGTATTACTGCCTTTAGAAGGCAAAATAGTAGATAAAGGCAGAAGAGGCAGCCTGTTGGAGAAAAAGAGATGTGGGGTTTGGGAATAAAGGCAAGCCTTGTGATTCTGTTGGATCTCTTTCAGATCTGCAGACACTCAGCTGAAACTTCTTGTGTCATGGGACCCAGAAAGTTGGGGTCAAGCTGGACATACCTCATACAAGGCCTTGGATTCCAGGAGAGGTGACAGGAGGCTTCAGGAGCGAGTGTCTGCAGTGCTCTGTATGTGACACCTGGATCAGACTGCCCAGAGGGCTTCCATTACTATCTGTTCCCCAGGAAGGCCAGAGGGATGTTGGGGATTTCCCCAGGAAGGCCAGAGGGACATTGGGGCCTCCCCCAGGAAGGCCAGAGGGACACTGGGGCCTCCCCCAGGAAGACCAGGAGGAAGCCAGAAATTGGAGGCAGGAGGAGGAGGAGCTGATACCTGGAGGAGCAGCAGTGTTTGGCCTGCTGCCTAAATGTACAGAAGCCTAGTGCACACCTGCCTTCTTCCCCAGAATGGGTCACTGGTGCAGATGGGACTCCCTCCCAGTGATGAGCTGGGAGTTTAAATTGCAGGATACTAAGCATGGATACTCTTAGAGCTGCCTGGGGAGCCTGGCGTAAGAAATAGGTATGGAGTCCTTCACGCTCACACTACTGCTGTTCTTTCCCAGAGACATCAACTTGCTTCAGAAAGCTAGGCGGAGGTGCATTGTGTTTTATTTATTGCATGACTGCCCCTGAAGATGCAAGTTTAGAGCTGGGAGAGAAACCCAGTGGTTCAATACATGCTTAGCATGCATGAGGCCCTAGGTTTGAGCCCTACTACCAAACTTTAAAAAAGAAAACTGCAAAACTACGAGTCATTCTAAATGTACTGGAAAGGGGAAGGAGGAGGTGGGGAGAGAAGGAAGCAGAGCTCAGGGCTCAGCCTCTTCTCCTGCTGCAGAACCCCACTGATCCTTGACAACTCAGAGCTGCATCACAGGCTTGGCAGAGCCAAAGCTTTCAGCGTAGCTGTCTTCACCTTTGGACTGAGAGGAATCAGCATTTTTCTTCTGAGATAAGACTGTGTTCTTTGTAGGATAGCCAGGTGTCCTGCATCTGTACTCAGTAAGTTTGTTGTTGAACTGAGTTTGTTTCTCCCAATGTGTACTTTTTTGCTTCTCCTCTCACTTTCCCCATCACATGTCTTCTTTACTGAAAAAAAAATTTAAATTATAATTATACCTGTTGTGGTGGTGCATACCTGTAACACCAGCACTCAGGAAGCTGAGGCAGTTGGAGGCCAGCCTGAGCTACATAGCAAGAATGTTTGAAAAAAAAAAAAATGCTGGAGATGTAGGTCAGTGCAAAGGCCCTGAATTCAATGCCCCGAACAACAACAACAACAAAAAATTATCCCTAAGGTGTTTCTTTGTCCCCTGCACTCCAGGCCCTTTTACTTGTCCCACCAGAAATAATCCCTACTGTGAATTTTGAACTTAAATCACTCCCAGGTTTTCTACATAAAGTCACTGCATTTTTGCACGCCTGCCATCATGTTGTTTAATTTTGTGTGGTTTTATGTATTATACAAACATCATTATAATGTTTGTATTCTGTGGATTTGTTTGTGAGATTTAGACACATTGAGGCATGTCACTCCAGTTAGTTCCTTCCTTTCGTTGTGTAACTACACCACTTTTTAATTATGCATTCTATAAATGGGTACTTGGTTGTTTTCAGTTTTTTGATATTAAAAACAAAGAGCTTGGCTGGAGATGGTAGGGCAGACCTGAATTCCCAGCACTCGGGAGGCTGAATCAGGAAGATTGGTGTGAGTCTGAGGCCAGCCTGGGTTACATAAAGACCTCAAAGCTAGCCTGAAGTATATATTGAGACACTATCTCAGAAAAAACAAACAAAACAAAAAAACAAAGAGCCACACAGACATAGAGGGCCACACCTGTGATCCTAGCTACTGGGGAGGCTGAGGCAGGAGGATCACATGCTTGAAACCAAGCAATTTAATAAGACCCTCTCTCACAATTTGGAAAACAATAAATGGCAGAGGGCTAGAGATGTAGCTCAATAGTTCCTGGGTCAGGTCAATGCCTAGTACCACCACAAAAAAAAAAAAAAAAAAAAAAAAAAAAAAAAAAAAAACAAGAAGAAGAAGAGAAAAGAAAAGGAAAACAACCACTGAGACTGAGAAATGTTTTGCACATGTGTCCACAAGTGAGATTTTCAGCTGGGTAGAGTGATCACACCTGACACCTGTACCCCCATGCTCTGAGGAGCTGACACAGGAGCATCCCAAGTCAGAGCCCAGCCTGAGCAATTGAGCAATTTAGTGAGCCCTGTCTCAGAATAAAAAATAAAAAGGCTGGGGATGTAAGTCAGTACAAAGGCTCTGGGTTCAATCCCCAGTACTGGGGGTGGGGGGAGAGTTTTGTAGGCTTTAGTCTAGATGGGGAACAGTGAGGTAGTAAAGAATACAAACCTTCGATTTCACTGGAAGATGGCAGTCACTTGCAGATCAGCTGAGCCCCGCTGCACTCGTGTCATTGTGCGAGTTCCCACCTTTCCATGTTCCTGCCTACACTTCAAACTATCAGATTTTTAAATGTTCACTAATATTTTAGCTTTTTTAAAAATGAAAAACCATATTTACGGTTTTTATAAAAGAAAAAGGGCTCAGGTTCAGCAATTACCAACTACAGCTAATTTTTTTGGGGGGGTGCTGGGGATTAAACCCAGAGCCTCTCACTTTCCACAGGCAGCTGCTCTACCAGAGCTACCTCCCAGCCTCCCATAAATAATGGTATAGCAGTAATAACGCTACCCATTCCCTCACTCCCGGATCATTTTGAGGCAAATCTAAGGCATTATTTTTTCCTAAATATTTAAGTATGTACCTCTGAATTACCTCTGAATTATTGGATGTTTTTAAAATGTATAAAAGTATTTTAAATGTTTTATTTTTAATATAAAATATAATAAAAAATATTTTAACTATGACTTCGTAATCTGTGCTTTTTCTCTCTTTGGAAGTTCTTCCTTACTGAATTTTCTCCTACTTTGATCTTGCCAGAAGGTCAGGCAGCAACTGTATTTTCTTCTAAAATGGCAGAGGGCTGGAGATGTCTTTTCACATTTAGGTCTTTAACCCACCTGGATTTTTTGTTTGGGATTGTTGTTGTTGTTGATCATGGTTTCTAAGTCAGAGACCCAGTTTTTTTCATTATCTCGCAGTCACTGACCTTTGCCCGGACTGTGGTGTCACCTCTTCTGCTGCCCTACGTGGGGTCTGTTTCTGAGCTCTCCGCTCTGCTCTAGCTCTTCGCCTGCGCATCTGGGGCCTTGAACCACCAGGGTTCTTGTTATCCTGAACAAAGAATTGCACAAGAAATGTGCAGAAAGTAGCAAGGTTTTATATTTATTCAAAGTATGAAAAGAAGTATGCTCTACAGGCCAATTAAAGGTAGGAAAGGGCACATTCCTTGCAGAATACAGAGCAGACTATTGAAAGTTTACAGTGGCTACAAGGTTAATGGTGACTGTCTTTTGTATCCCTTCTTTCTTTCTTTTTTTGGTACCAGGGATCGAACTCAGGACCTTGTACTTGCCCGGCTGGTGCTGTGCTGCTAAGATACATCCCCAGCCCTGTACCCCTTATTTTAAAGTCAGATCTAGGCCATCCTATGCAAAGCCTGATTTTGATACCATTTTCTGTTCAGTTCCAGGTGTGGGGCTTGGGAGCTGTCCTGCATGCACCCTGAATCACTGTGATTGACAGGTCCTGCCCACTCGTCTAGCCAGCTGGCCTAATCTCCTGCCTTGGTTCAAGCGTGTCCTCTAAAGTTCATGTGTTGGAAGCTTGGTGCCCAGTGTGATGGCTTTGAGGTGGTGGAACCTTTACAAGGTGGGGCCTACTGGAATAAGTACTGTTTTCAAAAGGGACTAGTATAGGGCCGGGGAGTTTAGCTGGGCTGGGGTTTTAGCTCAGTGGTGCTGCCACCTGCCACCTAAGCACAAGGTCCTGAGAGTTCGATCCTTGCTACCAAAAAAGTGGGGGGTATTAGTGCAGTTTTTTGGTTTGTTTCTTTTTATTTTTCTTTGCAGGTCTGGGGATGGAACTCAAGGGCTGGGGGAGGAGGGTTTAGGCAAGCTTATACTGTTACAAGGAAGTGGGGTCCTAACACCACAAGGAACCCTGGGAAGGGCACAATACCCCACAGTCCAGTACCAAAACCATATCCAAACCATAGCAGCTGGTTAAAAAAAAATGTTCTTTATTTCTTCCTTTCCAAAGTCAGATTAGCAGGAGAAACTTTGTAGGTGAACAATGTTCTCCTATACTAACTGTAGTGTTTTTATTCTGGTTTATTGCTTTGAGTTGTTTCAAGATAAATAAATATGGCAACATTTAAAAAGCTTTCTTTTTAAGACTTTCATTCCAAACTCAAAGAAATACAATGGGATACTTTAACAAGATTAAACAGCAATCAGACTTAGAACAAGTTAAAATCCTTTAACACTCAATTTAACCTCACTCAAGATTTACAAAAAAAAACATTCTAGCCTGTTATCTGGGTTTTTCTTAGTCCCCTGGAGGCACAAATCTTACCTGTCTTTGTAAACACCTAGAAATAGCTAAAATAAAGCCTACAGTCATTTGAACAGATATCAGACCTAAAGCAAGTTGAAGTCCTTTAAACCCACCATGAATTCCTTTCCTCAGTAGATTCTTTCATTTTAGGGCAGAAACATTCAAAAGAACTGGTTTGAATCATTTGGTTTGAATTTTTATTTTTGAGATAGGGTCTCACTATGTAGTCCAGGCTAGTTTTGAACTCACTATGTTACCCAGGCTGACCTCAAACTCACCACAATCCACCTGCCTCAGCCTCCCAAGTGCTGGGATTACAGGCGTGCACCACCACACCTGGCCTAGTTTGAACTATTAACAGACTTTTGTTCAACCTTTTGGGGTACCCGTTTGTTAGTAATCCTTCTCAACCCAGCACCCCCACTCCACCATGGACAGCTTTTATTTCTTTATTTTCTTTTATTTGTCTCACCCACTATGGCCATCTTTCAACTTGTCTACTGAGACACAGGGGATCCTGCTCTAGTGTCCACGTGGCCAACCAAAAGCTGAGACCCGCAAGAATATGACCAGACAAAAATGCAGATTATACACCTTGGTAGCTAGCACTGCCCCACTTCCGTTTTCAAGAGTGATCTGCATCTTGGAAAGGCTGGATCTTTTTGCTCCCTCTTTGGAGACACTGGTTAAAGTCATAAAAGACTTGTTTTGGTCTTGTGTATGCTTATTTGTTTTGGTCTTGAGTTGCTTGTAGGTATACTTTTGTGTGTGTGCATGTGTATGCATGTGCACATGCACACACACATGCATATGCATGGTACTGGGGGACTGAAGCCAGGGCCTTCCATATGCTCACTATGTAGATCAAGATGGCCTCAAACTCACAGCAATCCTCCTGCCTCAGCCTCCTTAGTGCTGGGATTATAGTCGTGCGTCAACCACACCCAGCAATAACTATTTATTCTTATCAACTCCTAAACTCACCTATTTATCTCTGGATGACTACAGAAGCTGTAAAATATCAAGACACTAGAAATTAAACTGTCTTGTACTTAAGAAGAGTCTAAATAGCTCTTCTAATAGGCAAGACCTTTTGCAGGCAAACACTGTAACAGTAATAAGAGTTACACCACTGTGCCTTACACTTTTCTACTCTGGATTAGCTCTACCTTGTAAACTGGCCCTTGTAAACTTACTGTTTTTCTGCACTGCCCAGCATTATAAATTTTAAGTAAAACCACCTTTAAGTGACTGGCATACTAACTGCTGGAGTCAGCAACTGCAGCGAAAACAAGGAAAACACCGTTCTCAAGGCCTCCTAATCAGCAATCTTTCTTCAGTTCTCCATGACCCAGAACATCAGATGGTCTTCAGCTAATATTAAAGTTCAAGCCAAGGATTTGCTAATCGAACTCTTTAATTAGAAGTGAAATAATGTTTAACTGCATGAAAAACAATGTGTTTGTCTAGAGAATTACAGGCATTGCCCTGGGAGACGAAGGTCAGTGTTACTGCAAGGACATTCTGACAGAAGAGAAAGGAAAACACCCTGAGCGATGGAGATGATTGTCATCCCTGGACACCTGACTCAGCGAGCAGCCTGCTGCTCACCACCCACTCCCCTCCCCACCTCCCCAAAGAATCCTTTTTGGGTACCTGAGTTTCA